GTTGGGTGGGGGTAGGGGAGTCGGGGCTCGGCAGGTGGCAGTTTCGGGGGTGGGTACCGTGGGGCGGGGGGGGGGTATCGGGTGGTCCCGGGGGGCGGTTTTCGCACTTTGGTGGTTTGTTGAACTCGGACCACCACCCCGTAGCCCCAGTCGCGCGCGCGTGCCCCGCGGGACTGCGTTCATTTTTTTTGCGCGCGCGCGCGCGTGCAGCGCGTTTAAACGCGATTGAACGTGGGGCAGGGGGGGTTGAACGCGCGCATTTGAACGTGAACGCGCGTTCACGGGGTTCAACCGGTTACACAATCACAAAATGGTTTTAAATAAAGATCGAAGTATAGTCTTGGGGTTGGTTGACCCACTCGATATCGTTTGGCTTTGTGCACACTGCACTTCTCCGTAATACATCTCTTCATGTTTAGTCATCACGTCTCTCTACTTCATATTGAGTTTGGTTTGTTGTCCTGTTCTCTTGCGTTTAGGTCTCTTTCACAGTGGTTGGAATATTGTAGAATTTGATTTGACTCTTCTCCCCTCATGTTCCAACCTTGTTGTGCGTGGCGTATCTGGCCGCAATCAAGGTATGATGTGACTTAGGGTGGGGTACTTACTTGGGTATGTGACTGGGTACACCGGGTCATGGCTGTATGTGATGTACTGACCATGCTGGGGTGGGGTTAAGTGCTCATCTTGGGCCTTAACTTTCATCCCAGCTCACTTTGCCTTGTGGTAGGCATTCTGATTTTCAATCAGCAGGTTGCAGGTTCGATGCCTGGAGGGAGCGATTGCGATTTTTAGATGTTGAATTTCGCGCTTGGAGGCTATGATTATGAATGAGCAAGGTATGATGCATAAGTTCCTACTGCAGTAGTTTGTTGACACTCTCGCCGGCTGCTATGTGGGGATGGCTGGCTGAATTTGGCCGAGCAGAGCTTTAGCAATAAATAAGCAAAGATTTTGGGCTCTGTCAAATGCTTTTCTCACGGAAGTGTATCTGGCCACAACAGTCGGCTAGATTCTGGGTTTGCCACATCTTGTTATTGCAGATATCCTGTGAGATCTTTCGAAAATCTGGAGGCATCTGGTATTTGTCTGGCCATCTGTTGGCAGACTTTTGCAATTCAGTTGCCGCGGCAAACAGGATTGGGATGGTTCATGGTAGTGAGTAGGTTGCCGTCGTCTTGAAGTTTGATGCTTCTCCCCACGGCCGAGTGCAAATTTTTCGGTCTGAATTCCTCTTTGAGCCAAGGCTCGAAAAACAAAAGGGCCCTTTGAATTTAGTACTGCATAGATGTTTGTTTCCTTCCATTAGCCCCTTCGGGGCTGTTTCATTAGTACTTGGTGCAAGTTCTTCTTAGAGTTTAATCATTCGAAACCGGATAATGACCCCGGTGCTTTAATACTTGTGTATTTTTGTATGGGACGTTGGGCCCGGTGTCTGGCGGCTGCAGACCAGTCGGCCATCTGAAAAGGGAGAAATTCGTCCCTCAACCGAACGCCCAGCTAAGATTCGTCAGGAACTCTTGCCGGAATTGTGGGGGAAAATTAGGTGTCCTAAGATGAACTCTGAAATCCTCTGCGCCGACTGCAGGAACTAACCCTTAAATTTAATAAGTTGAACGGTCGCCTCTACAGCACGGTCAGCACCTGAGACTTACCTTTTTTGTCTGTTTCTGAGGCTGTCCTTGAATCACCCATGTGCTGGAGCCGCCAGGATGGCGGTTCGTCATGATGGAGAAGAAGGGTTGACGAAGGAGGAGGTAGAGATGGAGCTGGAAGGGACAGTGCAGCTCCGACGCAGACTCAACACGCACGTACTCCAAGATGTGCAAAAGTGAAGAATGTCGAAATACAGACTGCAGTTGGGGTATACCCTCAGCGGACTGATGGGACTTAACTGGACTGGACTGGTACCGACGGTGCTACCGAGCAGGACTGGACTGGACTGAAACAGTACACGGTCTGTGGGGTCAGGCCACGACTTGGTCCCACAGGCCGAACTGGCAAATAGCCGAAAAGGCCCTGGCTGTAGGCCAGGGCAGATAGAGGCCTGTTGCACGATCCTCAGACCTGTAATGGATCGCAAGAGCCATAAACACGTTGTCAGAGCAAACACCCTTACAAGGGTATTTGCTCATGATTTTGCATATGATACATTATCAACGGCTGTCGCCGTGTCGGAGACAGTCTGGAGTAAAAAGTGAGAATTTGTTTGGCTCAGTGCTGTGAAGCAAACTTCTCGACCGTTGAGGTCGAGGTTTCTAGACGATCATATGCAGTAATACGACGCATATGACAACAGGTAAGGGTTGATAAAAATTAAAAGTCTTCGGCCGCGAGAGCCGAAGGGTTGGATGAAGACTAGAAAAGGTCGTGCGGGATGCATCGACCACGATCTAAATTAGTCAAAGGTACTGGCAGTAAGGGAAAAACAAATTAGATTGAGTACAGAGGCGTCAGATTGACCGGTACGGGAGAATTTGTTCGTCTCGCCGCCGTAAGCTCGAAGGCGGACTGAAATAATAATATAAGCCCCGACTGCGCGGCCAGGGCAGCCAATAAAAATGTCCCACCACCACACCAAGCGGCG